CACTAAACTACAAACCCCAGAATGCCACAGGAGGCAGCCATAGCAGTTGAAGTGGAATAACAGCGCTGTAAAAGTGTATCATGATATTGCCCTTCAGTACTATGGAACCCTGGATTTGTAGTTTTACAAGGTCTTTAGCCTTCTCTGCCAAATAGTGCTGATAGAAGCATAGAGTTAGAAGAGACCACAAGGGCCATCCCATCCAACCCCCTGCTATGCAGGAACTCACAATCAAAGCATCCCCGACAGATGGCCATCCAGCCTCTGTTTAAAGACCTCCAAAGAAAGAGACTCCACTACTCTCTGAGGAAGTGGGGTGTGTTGTCAAACAGCTCTTAAAGGGGAAAGGTTGCCTACCCCTGTTCTAGTTTTTCCCAATGTTGAAGTGGAATCTCTTTTCCTGTAGCTTGTATCTGTTGTTCCTGTTGCTATTCTCTGGAGTAGCAGAAAACAAGCTTGCTCCAGCCTCAACATGACATCCCTTCAAATATTTAAACACGGCTATCATATCCACCTCTTAACCGTCTCTTCTCCAGGCTGAACATACCCAGCTCCCTAAGTCGTTCCTCATAGGGCTTGGTTTCCAGACCCTTTACCATTTTAGTTGCCCTCCTTTGGACACGCTCCAGTTTTTCAACATCCTTTTTGAATTGTGGTTCCCAGAAGTGGACACAGTATTCCAGGTGGGGCCTGACCAAAGCAGAATACAGTGGCACTATTACTTTCTTCAATCTACTCTTTACATTACTCTTGGATGGCTTCAGAGCTCTGCACTCTTAGCGTAGATGGTGTCATTTCTCTTGGCTGTAAAAGCAGATGCCTCACAAAACTACAGATCCCAGGATTCCTTAGGATGGAGCCATGGCCATTAAAGTGGTGTCCAGCTGCATTATTTCTATAATGTAGATGCACCCTTAGCCCACGTTTAATACATGGCAATTCCTCTTCTAATGCACAAATGGCTATCACGGTTTAACAGTCTTAAGAGTAAGTAAGAAGGACACCCTTCTCCACTGGCATCAATGGGGGAATTTCCCCCAGAGGCTGAAATAATTTTTGGACTAAGGCTCTCAAAATTCCCCAAACACCTGTAGTCACTAGCCATGCCAGTTGGGCGATTCTGAAAGTTTGCTGTTCATTGCCTTTGGGTTGGCTTCAGCTTGAGGCAACCCTATGACTGAAAGACCTCCAGGAGTCCCAGTCGCTGACAGCGCAGCTCAGGTCTTGCAAATTCAGGGCTGAGGTTTTCTTGAATTAATAAATTAATCTGCAATATTATATCTTTTCCTACTGCCCTAACTTCACCAAGCATTTTTTCCCAATGAGTCACATCATCACATATGCCAAAAGTAGGATGTCTAAAATGCAACTTGCCCAAGGTCACCCAATGGGTTTTTATGCCAGAGCAGGGCATCAAACCATTATCTCTAGATAACATTCAGGGGTAGTCGTGTTGGCTATATAGCAAATCGAATAACA